TATTCTTGCACTATTACCCATCTATGTGTTAAATCATACCTTAGAGAAAAACAAAAACCAGGTTTCAAAAGTTTCCACATGCAAGCAAAAATTAAAGATACAGCATTTTGTAAACAAGTAATACTTTATTTGTAAACAAACATAAACACATGAAAGCGAAAACAAGCTAGGTTTACCTCCACCCCCATCTCTGCAAAAAGTAAACAATCTGGGAATGAAATGGTGTAGTCCCCATCAATAACCTAAAGTTTTACAATTACCTCATATTGTATTTTTCCACCAAATACAACAATCTTTCAAAAGAGCTTCACAGGTAATTTCAGCAGAATATGGAATTGTATTCATATCTCATATAAGTCAGTTTGATGTCCAAAAAGAATCAAACTACAGAAGCTTTAAATTTAAAAAGTAAATTTAACCCTCGCTAACAATACACTACCATAAGAAGAATTAGGAGGTAGAATCTGAAGACAGGAAAGATTTCTACCCATAAGTTAATGGCTGTGCTAGGTACACCCAACTATTAACACCATATATTACATCTGGCCTGGAAGTAAAAATCTTGAAAGAATAGCTAGTTAATATGGTATTCTTATAAGACAAAATAATAATAATATTCATTAGAACATCTGCGATCTAACGGTTTCTCAAAAACTGTTCAAATTCCAATTCTCTGGAAAGCCATGAAAATGTATCAATCAGTTATGACAAAATGTGAAAAAGTATTAAGCATCTAGTAATTAACAAAATTAAAATGTTTACAAGCACTTGTGCAATGTTAGTAAAAGTCTTTGCAGAATGGGAAGTGTACTACTGAAATCAAAACTGATTTATCTAAATATGTCTGTACGTTCTGCCGTTGAGGTCATGATGGCTGCTTCTGCCTTCGAGAAACTGCTCTACCATAAAACTGACTTTCTTTACAACTAAGTGGATGAGAACTGACAAAGGGAAACAAATAAAATAACTATTGGGAATGCTAATATCTTAATTGTACAACTCCATCTAACTGTTTCTCTCTTTAGTTTTGCAAAGCATTAAGATCTAGTCTTGATAGAGAGTTCTTATATTTCAGTTCAGCAAATTTTTTTTTTTTTTTTTTTTAAAGATGACCGGTAAGGGGATCTTAACCCTTGACTTGGTGTTGTCAGCACCACGCTCAGCCAGTGAGCGAACCGGCCATCCCTATGTGGGATCCGAACCCGGGGCCTTGGTGTTATCAGCACCGCACTCTCCCTAGTGAGCCACGGGCCAGCCCCTCAGTTCAGCAAATTTTTACATGCCAAGACTTTGATTCAGAGCTAAGTATGAGATAAGGTCTCTGGAGGATCTCAGACTGGTGAGGGTAAACAAAAACATAAACAATAACGCTCTATAAACTTTTTCAACCAAACATCATTTTTATTAAAAGGAAGTTAATCTTTGGACAACCTCAGCTTAAAGCTAAAAATTCACGTCTCCTTTGAAGAAATTATTATTATTCCACTGAGCATCTGAAAGTATGAAATAGTCTATACACAAAAAGCTAATTTAAAAGCCTGTTGCAATCAGTAAATTGTCTCATGGAGATTAAACAGTAGATACCTGTGTAGAGTAGAAAATACTTAAGAGTTTGTTTTGAATTTGCCAACAACTTTATAAACCTATAATCAGATAAAAAGTTGTAAAACACCATGAGACATGTGACTAATGTCTTTGTTTAAAGACTTCACAGAGCCTTATTATAACTGAACAATTACAAAAGAAAACTAACTTATTTCTACTAAAGTGAACATAAATATTGCACTCATTTTTCTGGCACAATTATGTTTTTGATACAATGTCCTCTATAAAAAGCATCTGTGTACCCACCTGCCCCAGTTCTGTTAACTGCCAACTACAAGCACCTTCTATCATTATTTTTCTAGATCACTCTACTAAAAAATGATTCGTACAATATCTGCAAAACAGCACTTGAATATTGGTCCTGCAAATCTGTCAAAAGTANATGTCCTCTATAAAAAGCATCTGTGTACCCACCTGCCCCAGTTCTGTTAACTGCCAACTACAAGCACCTTCTATCATTATTTTTCTAGATCACTCTACTAAAAAATGATTCGTACAATATCTGCAAAACAGCACTTGAATATTGGTCCTGCAAATCTGTCAAAAGTACCCCTCAAATTTTAAGAGATAATTCAGTGAGAGGAAGAGCTGGTAGGCTCCTAACTGTGGTGATTTCACTTCTAGTTTTACGTGCGCCCTCAACCCAGAAACTCGCAGTGATCACATTTTTACCCTGTGGCAAATACCTGTGTCAACTCAAGCTATGAGACTGGAACCAGTCCATACTGACTATCTGTAAGATCCAAGTGTCCAAATTCTTGTTTCCAGTTTACTTTTTTTGAAGTTAACATATCAAATCTTTTTTAGGATCTAAACTTGTCTGGTATTTAAAATTATTTAAGAAAGAAGTACAAAGAAAAAAGAAATACACCATTACTGCTGGAAGAAATCTGAATGATCTCTTCATTTGCGGAATCTCTGCCTTCATTATGGTTTTCAAACATCACTTCCTCTGCACTACCTCCCCCCGTCGTTCAGGCAGATCAGTGATTAACGCCGCCCCTCCCAAGCAATCCACTGTCCATAAACAAGAAGCCCCATGCTTCAAGTATATGGCCCTGGCAACCTCTGATGTTTTGAAAGACACCTGTAAAAATACCAAAATCCTAAATTAGATCCCCAAGGGCTCCTTTTCTTTCTTGACTACGTTTCTCTCTCTCAATGCCTCCCACAAGCCTTTGGGCCAGACGACTTCCCTCCCCCCCCCCCCCCCCC